GCGGCGTGCGTGTGCGCGCGCGCGTCGGTTACGACACACGCGTGTCATCCCGGTGTAAGGGGACACCGCTTCCTGGTGTGGAGCCGATCACAGCGGACCGATGCGGCGCAGGAGGCAGAGCGGATCCAGACCTCGGTGAGATCTCAACCGTCTGCGGAAACAGCGTGAGTACAAGCGGCTACAGCGTCTCTGTTCGCTCGGTCCGGAAAGGTCCGGAAAGGTCCGGAGGGGGGTGATGCTGAGCGGGGATCGGTTCCGTCCTCTGCGGGAGGAGAAGCCTGTAGGAACGTGTTTTAGTCATTAGAGCTGCATGATCCAGGACTGAACATATGAAGTGTGTGAATGCTTGTTGTTGTTTCCTCCTTCCTGGAGCAGAACCTTCCCGCTACCTGCTCAGGACTGACTGGAAGGAGGAGGCATGATGTCATTAATTACACCTTTACTGGCTCACCTGTAGTTGTGAGAACGTTTATTTGGAGAATCACCTTTCCATAGCAGCAACTATCACGTTTTATCAAGTTCATGTGAAGAGTTAATTTGCAGAAAGAGATATCTGCATCTTCACAGACCTTCATGAAGCCACGTCTCCATCGTCTGCCTGAGACACCACCAACCGAACTTCACTCATCTCTGTTGAGTCACATCCACTCAGTCTGGCTGATTTCATCTCCAGCAAACAACAACAAAAATAAGTTTGATGATGATCTGTTGCTGCAAATGAGCTCTTCATGTTCTCAGATTCTGGACCAGCTCTGCTTCAGAGGGACGTATCTACACCCCGCTGCCTTTATGAAGCTGCTAGTCTTACATCTCATCTGTCCTTCCAGACTCACACCCGTTATCCAAACTGATATGTTCTTTGAAAGGCCTTCTTCGTTGGTTGACTAACTTCTCGACGGTTCTTGTGGGCGGGAAGTTGCTCAAGACCTCCGACTGCAGCCAGAAGGAGGGCGGCTGCATCAGAGCACTAACAGCACATTGTTAAATCAGCTTATTTTACTGGTTACAAAAATAAAAAGAGCAAGAATCCAAAAAAAAAGCAGGATCTGTCAGGCTGATTACTGGTATTTTTATCATTCAGATTTACGAGGACACACATGAAGTACGACGTTTGGTGACACAAGTTAATCATCTATAACACGTCCTCCATCACCGGCTGTAAGACGACTACACATGTGGGTCTTCTTCATTGTCTGACCTTAGATTAGTTTTAGGACCCTTTTGGAACAGACCGGTATCTTATAAACACCTTTTGGAAGTGGGTTTTAGTTTCTACATTATTCTCTCTGTGCTTATCTGAACATTTCTTTCAGGCTTCACCCACTAATCAGCAGGTTGCTCACTTTTATGTAGACTTGTTTTTTGCAGGTTATTTGCTGTGAGCACCTGTATGATGTGGTGCTGACTGAAGTGGAGACAGCTGATTAGAAGCATCCGGTGTGTTATTAATGAAGGGAGACGAGGTTTAAACAAGGATGAGCTGTGGTATCAGAATCAACCCATAAATGTCCTTCAGTTGGTCCTGAATGACAGGAAACAGACCTGTAGCTGTAAGTGACACGTCCCAGAGCTGCTCTGCTAACACGCCTCGTATGTTTGTGAACAGAACCGAAGGAGCGCCACGTACACTTGGAGGAATGTCAGCCGTAAACAAAGCTTCAGAGGACGGAGGCTCCTTCTCATCGAAGGTCATCGGCGTCGTGTTCGTCATCCTGCTGCTGGACCTGCTCGGCTTTACTCTGATTCTGCCCCTGCTGCCGTCCATCTTGGATCATTATGCACAAACAGAGGTTGGTTTGACCTTAACGTCCATTAGAGCAGCATTGATGTGCCTCTGACGTGTTGTTGTCAGATCAGGAAACACAAGGCAGCAGGCTGAAAAACCACAATAACAGAAGGAAGAAGGGGATTCGTTTGAGTCGCAGTTCGTTGCCTGACGATTAGATAATTATCTCCAGACTGGTTCTGCGATCTGTGTGGCCAACATTGAGCCGATTCGTGACCAGAAAACCTGCTTCTGCCGCCGTTATGAGAAGGCGTTTTAAAGGGATTTCCTGCACAGATAACGCGATGCTCCCTCGAACAAAGGCTGTTCTGTGTGAAGCATCGAGTCCATGAGGAGCGTGAGCAGCTCCTGGCTGATTGGATGAGCTGCTGGCGGGGAGTCTGTGTGCTGACTCATGCTGAACGGGCCTCTTTACTGCCGGTTCTGTGTCATGTCGTGTTCTTGTGTTTCCTCGGCGGGCAGGACGGCGTGTATCAGTCCCTGCAGAGCGTGGTGGACTGGTTCAGGGAGGCTGTCGGGATTCCCATGGAGAAGAAGTACAACAGCGTCCTGTTTGGAGGTATGTCGGGCTGATCTCTGCACAGCCGATAGGGGGCGCTGTCCTTCGCTGGATGCTTTACACCAACACACAGCGATGCAGGGATGGTTCCAGGTCGTTGGTCTGATGCTTTTTGATTTGCCTTTCAGGTCTGATTGGGTCGCTGTTCTCTCTGCTGCAGTTCCTGTTGTCGCCTGTGACCGGGGTTCTGTCGGACCGACACGGCAGACGGCCGCTGCTCATCCTGACCACGGTGAGCAGAACAGCGTAGAACACTTAAAACATCAGTGTTGATTGTGGATCAACCGCCGGCGCTGATTCGTTCAGGTCTCATTGTGCTCCTCGTGTACCAGTTAGGGCTGATGTCCTCCTACGCCGTCTGGGCCGTTTCCCGGAGCTTCAGCATGTTCCTCCTGTTTCGGGTCATCGGGGGCATTTGTAAGGGCAACGTCAGCCTCTGCACCGCCATCATAGCCGACCTGCCGTGCCCGAAAGCACGCAACCGAGGAATGGTAGGCCCGGACCAGACACGTACTGGTAGACGAGATAAAACTTTATTAAGCTGTTTGGCTGGATGCTGCTCAGAAACCACGACTAGAGAAGAAGGCGTTTCACTGCACGTTATACCGTCTATAGCTGTGTTTGTGACCAATAGGAGGCCTTGAATCCTTGAAATATTGCCCCTGAAAATAAAATATTACAAATGAAAATGAAATATTACAAATGAAAATGAAATATTACACGATTCTGAAACTGATGAAGCACAAACTATTGAGAAAATGATGTTGATTTTATGATTTATCTCCTACATATGACTGGATGCAGACAGGTGGTGACTCTGACCTTCACATGTCTACATTCTACATGAATGTCTTTGTATGTGTTGCTGTCAAACTTTCAGCTAAGTGTCTTAAAAGCGGACTAACTCCCTCTGACCAGGCTATGATCGGCATCGCCTTCTCCGTGGGCTTCACCGTGGGACCTCTGATGGGAGCGTACTTCGCCATGAGCTCCAGAACCACAGGAAGCGTCTTCTACCAGACTCCGGCTCTGCTCGCGTTGGCCTTCAGCGCCGCCGACCTGCTCTTCATTTGGCTCATGCTGCCGGAGACGCTACCGAAGGACGTCAAGGTTAGTTTGTGGAGGCGCTGTCTCTGGGGTAAAGCGGGACACACATGGGTTTGTGCAGCATCTTCTCCTGACGCCTCTACAGTGGTGGAAGAAGGATGGAGATGCTTCAATGAGGTAAAAGTAGCAGCAGCTCCCTGTGCACATAGCCTGTTGGAAGTGAGAATCCCACCTGAGCTGCAAACTGTACCTGAAATATCACAAATAAATGTAGTCATCAGAGTTTTCAATGTAGAAGCATCACTTTAAATCATCAGAATAGAACTAAACTGTTATCAGGACATTTTTGTAGCTCACTCTTTAATAATTCATCATATTTTACAAGCTTGTGTTTGTAAAATCTTTATCTGGAAAATTACTGGCAGCAAGATTTCTCCGTGCAGCGTCATAAACTATAAGTAAAATACTTTAATAAAACACAGACATGTGTTACTGAACGCAGCACTTTTCACCAGTTTCTTGTGGAATTAGTTTGAAGCTGATTCCCGTATCGGTTGGATGTCAGTGATAGAAACAGTTTTGGAAAATATGTTGTTTTGTTTTCTTCCCAAGAGTCAGATGAGACGATTGATGGCAGCCTCGTGTCTGGATGGTAAATGTGGAGCTGCAGTCTGTTAGCGTAGCTTAGCATAAAGGCTCTAACCAGGTGGAAACAGCTCACCTGGCTTTGTTTAAAGGTAACTCAACCTGTTCGCTACCAGCAGCTCAGTATCGTCACATGTTGTTGGTCACCTCTGTGAAACCACAGCAGAGTCTTTCTAGCTGTTTCCTGTTCATTATGCTAAGCTAACAGGCAGCTTGTTGTAGCTTCATATTCACCAGACAAATGTGTTTATTCTTTCTTCAGTCACGATGCCTTCATGCTGCAAACACGTGTAAAGTAATTGTCGTAAAAATAAGTTTTAATTTTTTTTTAAATGTAATTTTAAAAAAATACAATAAAATAAAATGAAAAATCGATTTAAAAAAATAAAACAAATAAAATAAAATTAAATAAATAAATAAAATAAAAACTATTAAAAATAATAAAACAAATAAAAAATAAAAATAAATTTTAAAAAATAAAAAATTATTGTAACTTTTATTATTTTATTTATTTGTCTTTATATTTCTACTTTTATTAGACAGACAGATCTATTTATTCTTTGCCGTGTATGATGTCGTTTTTGTTCTTAAATAAGTCACGATACCTTCATACTATAGACACGTCTGTAAAGTCATGTGAAAATGTTTTAACTACAGCTGAGCTGATTTTCTTTGCATTTTCTTTTCAAAGTTTTCTAAATGAAAAAATGCAATTCATGATGAATTTCTTATTGTTTACTTATTAATCTGTTCAACCTCTGACTGATATCAGATTCAGGAGTGTGTGTTTTATCACAAAGCTGCACCTTTTCTTCCACCTGTCGAGTCAGACATGCAGCTCGATAAGAGTTCGTTTCACTTTGCAGTCGTATGTGGAGAAAAGTCAGTCGGTCAGATGTGTTGATGAGCTGCGATCGTATCAAGTTTAACAGAACAACCACAACACCGGAGTCCAGCTTCACGCCGCTGTATGGAGCGTTAATGAGCTGATATCTGACAGCTCTTAAATCTCACGTCTCCATAATATGTGGCTCAGATTTCTTTGTCCTTTTTGAAGTGTTTTTATGTTTTTATTCTCCCATCTACGCTGATCAGTCACCAAACTGTCTATCAAGCAACTGCAGACCTCTTTCTCTCTGACACCCACACTAACCAGGAGGATTAGATCAGATATAACTTTATTGATCCTTTGGTAGGGCACCTCGGGGAACTTGTTGATGCAGATAAGTGATGTTGTTTCGTCCCAGGCTTCATCGTCGGGCTGCGGCGGCTCCAGCGACCTCCTCAGCCCCTTGTCTTTGTTCCACTTCGCTGCTGTCACCAGGACAAAAGAGCCGCCCTCCAGAGACAGTGAGTGCCATGCCGACCAGATTCCTGCGTGAGGCAGAGCCCTGCACCCTTCTGACCCACTTATAAGGCATGAATGAACTTTGGCACGCTGACAGGAAGCGGGGATGTGTTTTTACAGGAATGCAGACGCTCCGAGTGCTGGGCCTGGTTTATTTCTGCTACCTCTTCCTGTTCTCCGGTCTGGAGTTCACGCTGAGCTTTCTGACCCACCAGCGCTTCCAGTTTACGAGGTGTGAGCTCAGAGATGAAGCTGTTGGTTCTATCAGATGTAGGAAGAACATCTATCAGCAACTGGGCTTTGTTTTCTCTCAACAGCATGCAGCAAGGAAAGATGTTCTTCTTCATCGGTGTCATCATGGCTCTAATCCAGGGCGGCTACGCTCGCAGAATCAAACCTGGGAACCACATTAGGGCTGTGAGAATGGTATCAGAACCAGCTGTTCACATGACAGATACGAGTGCAGTGAACTGTTGGGACCAGATGATCTGAAACGTTTCGTGTTTTCAGGCGATCGTAACACTGATCCCAGCGTTCATCCTCATCGGGTCGTCGTGGAACATCACGATGCTGTACGTCGGCTTGGCCTTGTACTCCTTCGGTAAGTTTATGCTCAGCGTGTCCACAGAACACCAGAATTAAAGAGCCCGCTTCCTTCACCACATCGGACCGCACGCCTGAGAACATGTGAATGGATTCAGACATATTTCAGAAATTAAATGGACAACCAGTTAGCAGATTAAAGAAGAACCTTTAATCTGTCATCAGCATGTGAGTTGTATGAACAACTCAACAGCATCCTGAATACTGCATTTAACAGCTATTTACCATCATTACTGATTATTTCTGGTGCAGTTTAACGTCGGTTAAAGTCTGTCAGAGTGAGAAAACAATAACTGGTCCAACTCAGAGTATTTATACTGAAAATTCTGTTCCTCTAATCTGACTCTCACATGTTTCATAAGTGATCATAAAAGCTTTGGAACGACCTTCGTCTCTGTCTGTGAAGGTTCTCAGTCCTTCAGGTCATGTTGTTCTGGTAGATTGATCGTAGCAGCTGCTTGAGTTCCTTGAAGACGTTCCACCTTCATCCAGGAGGCTTCATCAGCTCTGACTGACTCGTTGGGAGTTCCACATCCTGATATCCTGAAGGAGACGTTAACACCTGAGTTGTTGCTCCTCCCCCTCGTTGTGTGACTCGTTAGTGCTCCTCCTGCCACAGTGGGCTGCGTTAGGTGTGGATGTGGCTTCATCTTCCTGGGGAGAGATCTTAGGACTGAATAGAAATTCAGTTTCTATTATTTTATGATGTCTATGTGTGAACTCTACTCTGTCACGTGGAACAATCTTAAGTTAGTAGTTAAGTAGTTTTAGGTAAATGAAAGTTGATTAACACACAGATGAACATGTGCGATCAGTCACACACATCTCAGAGTGCATCTGAAGCATTAAATATATTTACTTCATGTTGTTCCTGTTCCTGCAGCGGCTGCGATCGTCGTCCCCTGCCTGTCCACGCTGGTTTCTGACCACGGTGAGCCTCCTGATAATCCCCAGTGATGAACCATGTTTAATCTGCTGTAATGTGCACACTCTGCTCGTTATCACCTGTTCGTCCAGGTTCGGCGCATCAGAAAGGCACCGTGATGGGGATCCTGCGTAGCCTGGGCGCCCTGGCCAGAGCACTGGGACCAGTCGTGTCCTCCTCTGGTGAGTCGCAGCTACGATGAACACCTGAGTTAACCTTTCTGTCAGGCCAACACTGCTCATATGTGCCCTTTAAATAACTTGCATTCATTCTGATGTGATCGCTGCGTTTGCTTCACAGTTTACTGGATCGCAGGAGCACAGACCTGCTTCCTCATCACATCGGCCGGCTTCGTGGTACCGCTGGTTCTCCTGAGCATCGCCGGGAGGCTGAAGGAGGAATGAGCCGCACAAAGACTTTTAAAAAGACAGAATAAATGAATGTTGTGATGTTTACATCTTCTGGGAAAGCGAGCGCGGAGTTCCTGCTCTGTGACTGCCGGGACGACGTGACTCACCTGTCGGGGCCAAAGATCAACACCTGGAGCTAAATGAGAAGCAGGTGCACATGCCAACCAGAGGCGCTGGGAGAGGCGACGCCATGCTGCTTATGTGCACCTGTAGACCTGTACGTGTTCAACGGGTCAGGGGGGATTTTAAATGCTTCTGTGCTTAGAAATCATTTTATAACGCCATATTTTATCAACCGCTCTGATTTTGTAGCGTTTTATTTTTGCTCTCCTGATAAATGTTGATATTCTATTTTCTATTAATTAATAATAAAAAAAAAATGAACAAACACGTGAATGTCTGTTTGTGGGAATAAATAAATACGTCTCCAAACAGTTAGGAACAAAATCACACAAAAATAATAAATAAACTTTGATTTAAGTTCAGCTTTGATTGAAGATGCTGGTACTCTGGCATTTCCATTTCATGCTACTTTAACTCCAATACAACTTGGATCTGAGCTTTTTTACAGGTTAAGATAACACAGCAGCACAACAGAAAACAAGATGCATTTTTAAAACCACAACAGGGTGCATGTTTGTAGACGACTGCTCCATTATAACCGCCTGCAATACTGTTAAATGTAGGAAGATCCCATTCTGCATGATGAGCAGTTTTACTTTTGACTGAGTGCATTTTTTCTGACGTTTTTAACTTGAAGTAAAAAAAAGTAAGAACATGGGCCCTTTACCTGTGTTATGTAGACTTTACTGGACCAAATCCTGCTGCCTTGGCCTCATCCATCCGTTAGTTTTACCCACTTTGTCCCGGACTGTGCAGCAGGGAGCCTGAATCAGTCTCAGCTGACTCCAGACGGTTCATCACACAGAGACAGATGCCCACTCGTGTCTATTGCTGATGTAGGATCACCAACAACCTGCATGTTTCTGGATTTTTGGAGAAAACCGGAGCAGCCTTTAGTTCATATACACTCAGATGTCTTTAGGAATACTCAAGAAGACAGCACAGAATGCAGTAAAGTGTAGGAATATGGCTGCTGACAGTACTGCTAGATTGTGATGTGAAGCCTCACGGGGTGCAAAATATAATATTATAATAACAATAATGTATGGATGAGCCATGTTTACGTCACATTACTGCTACAGACAAGCGACAAATTAAAAGAAGAACCATTATGAAGTGTCTCAGTGAGGTGTACGGCTCTACTGAAGGGAATTCCTGGTAAGATATTCCTCATTTGGTGTCGTGATGACGGTGCTGTCCAACGTTTTAGTCCAAAGACCTCCAGAGGCGTTGAACTGGGTTAAAATCTGGTGACTGCAAAGGCCATAATACATGATTCACATTAAAACATTCAGAGATGAATGTGGGGATGGTACACCTGGAAGACTCCCGTCCAGGTAGAAACGTTTCACAGCAGGATAAAGGTGATCACAGGACAACTCTGACTGATTCAGTGTCTCTGACTCACTGTAGGAGTCAATGGTTCAGGTTTTCCTTTCATTTGTCACCCAGCTTCAGTGAAATATTTAGCTTTGGCCTTTTTCAGAAATACTTGTTATACTGTGTGTGGTTTGTAACCTACTTTCTGTGGGTGTCTCTGGCTGTTTTTTTTTATTCCACGAGGCCAGAAGATGTCGCTGCAGCTCTCCTCTTCGCACACCATGTAAACATCAGCTGTTTCAATCAGCTAGCTGCTGCTGCTATGCTATCAAACAGGTTGTTAGCCCGGTGAGCTAACACACACTCACACACACTGTGTTGGCGCACATAGATGTAGCACCGCCGTAACGAGGACTCTGACAACACACGGAGGCTTTGGTGAACACACGAAGATGTGACTGCGTTTAGGAAAACCTGAAGATGGAGAAGGTAGCGGGCGAAAATCAGCGCTTACGGCTGTGTGTGTTTTTGCTTAGCTAGCTAGCATGCTAGCTGAGGCTAATGCATGTAGTTGAGCATGAGCTAACTTTTAGCTAACTTTAGCGGATACTAACATGTGTGAGTGATACCGCTGAGTTTAAAGCTGGTTCGACCACATTAATGAACTGTTAGTTTAGTAAGATATTAGCTACGAATGGCAACACAAAAAGTACATTTGTGAAGCGTTAGCTGGGTGTTTACTTAAGCTAAATAAACAAGCTAACACATGTACTCGAGTGAGACATTTCTTTGGATATACTGTGGGATAAATGTGGGTGTGAATCGGTGATAAAGTGGTGGGTACTGGGCTGAATGTGGCAGGACACGGGTTTACTTGACGTGGAGCCAATAACGTGATTGTCAAAGGTCAAAACAAGCACACTGCTGATGCTAATCTGTACTTTCCAGGAGAGCAAAGTGTCACCTGCTGTCCAGGCTTCTGACTGTAAACACCAGAGGAGACAGAGGAAGGATCCTGCTGAGCCCCACGCCGCCTCGCTCCTCATGCTACCAAACCCATATGACCAGATTTCAAGAGGGTACAAAGATAAAGACGTCATATCATGTTTTATTTGGTCCAAGTAATCATTCACTGGTGTCCTGACCTGAATCATTCAACCGCCCGTTCTGTTTGATGTCTGGGCTGTTTGTAGGTCAGGTCTGGGTCCAAAGCCGGCTGCAAAAGGAGGAGACGTGCCGAGGAGCTACAGCAGCAGCCGGCCTGTCAGAGAGGCCGGAGATGATGTCCTACAGAGAGACAGGTCCACGCGAGAGCCACAGACTAAGGTTGGTTTTACTTGGAGCGACAGCAAACTGCATATAAACACCTTCATGAAACTAATCTGGGTCGGTCAGCACCGTGGCCTCACAGCTAGAAGGTCGCCGGTCCACGTCCCGGTGAGGACACCCGGGATCTTCCTGCGTGGAGTCTCCATGTTCTCCCCGTGCAGCGTGGGTTCTCTCCGGGTTCTCCGGCTTCCTCCCACAGTCCAGAAACATGCTGAGGTTAATTGGTGATTGTAAATTGTCCGTAGGTGTGAATGTGAGTGTGCTTGGTTGTCTGTCTCTAAGTGTAGCCCTGTGATAGACTGGTTACCTGTCCAGGTGAACCTGCCTTCACCCTGAGTCAGCTGGGAATAGATGATGGATGGATTGAATTAATCTCAGTTTCTTTTTTTATTATTGCATCTTCACAGACATTGAAAAGCAGCAGTGACTTCCAAGGCAGAGCGATGGGTCAGAACCCAGCGGACGCTCAGAGAAAAGGTACTGATCATATGGACTAGACATGTAGGAATGACAGCTAAACATCGCACACTTAGATCTGAACAATAGTTTACAATACTGCCTGTCTCAGTAGTTTGTGCAGTATCAGTATAATGTGTAATGTTTGACTTCCATGTACAGTCCTGTCAGTGTAATGTGTGATATCCATCCATCCATCTTCTCCTGCTTATCCAGAGTCGGGTCATAATGTGTATTATACCTTTTTTAATGTGTAAACTTCCAACATCATGCATCATAAATGTGCAACATGTGATGACCGTGTGTGATGTTACCCATAACCTCATCATTACTTCCTGCTCTTCTGTTCTAGTCTTACTTTAGCCTCCATGTTGTATTTCGTCCAGACATTCTACTTCTGTCTTATTGCTTTTCTGTATTTAGTTTTTTCTGAGCAATATCTGCCAAATGAATTCCTCAGGGATCGATCACATTTTATCTTCTGGATGATACTCTGCTACCACAGTCGTTTTCCTGGAGTGTCCCCATCAGTGAAGACCCGTCTCCACCTTGGATTATTTTTGCAGCGTACTTGAGGTTAAGGCCTTTGCTCTGACCGTTCATTTAATCGATCCACAGGTTTTAGAGGGACCAGGTCTGCCCCAAACTCTGCAGGGAAGTCAAAGCCAGCACAGACAAACCTGGTCCCGTTTGAAGTGAAGATGGCTGATTTTCCGGAGCTCGCTGGTGTTTCGAGGAGCAAAGCAGCTCCTCCTCCTGGTGCTGCTGCTCACCAGAGAGCGTGCTGGGCTTCAAACCCTCCACCCACGAGCCCACAAGCTCCGAAACTGGCGTCTTCCTGGAAGGTCAGCTCATGGAAGGATCAGATATGACGATATGTCAAATATACTTTTCTGTTTTTCTAACACGACTCCTGAACTCGGTGGTTTTCTGTGAACAGTCCGGCAGGAGGGGATCCCCACCACGAGCCGACCCCCGTCAAAGTGCCGCCGATGCTACACCGGACGCCGCCGTCATCCCAGAAGGTAGGGTGACGTTCATGTAGTCAGGTTTTCAATGACTACAAAGTTTTGACGATAATATTTCACGTTTATATTCACATGTATGAGCAGGTCAGCTGACGGTGACGTCCTGGGCGAACATCGCCTCGCAGCCGCCAAAGAAACCCGTTCCAAAAGAGAGGACAGTCGGCAGCGACCACATGCAGGTGGGATGATTGTTTCATTAACATGTTCAACAAAGAGGGGATCTGCAGGTCCTGGAAAGACCTAAATGACTTGTTCTCAGTTGATTAGTAAGAGATGAGGGTGAGAAAGTCTGGTGTTGATTTAAATCAGCAATTACAAACAATATGGAGACATTAATCACGTATCCTCAAAGACTAAAGAGGCAACCTGAGAAGTCCGTCAGAATATCTTTAAAACCATGTGAAGTGTCCAGACATGGAATTAGAACTGTACAGTTATAAAACCAGATAGTGTTCCTCAGTTTGACACCATTTTTACAAGTAAATGCACAAAATCAATTAAGATTCTGTTGATCACATTCTCATATCTGTGAAGGTTTCATGTGTTAAACATTTGATTCACACTTGATGGTCAGTCATGCAGCTGCTTAGTCCACTGCAGCGATCGCCCACATCCTGAGGTAGTTCAGTAGTTTTTAGGAAACATCTCAGCCCTCCTGAACCTCCTTCATGTTATCAGACGGAGGACGTGGCTGCGCAGCAGGAAGTTGGAGCCCCAGGGAAGAAGAAACGGAAGAAGAAGAAGAAGTCTAAAGGTACGAGTGAAGACACCGAAGCTGAGTCAGAAGAGCCGGCGTTTCCTCAGGAGCCTCCAAAGTTTGAGGTAAACACCATCTTTGTGTCTCCATTCAGCCCGGGGTTTTCAAAACAGCAACGGAAGATGATGTTTGTCGTTGTCTTTTCATTCTAGGATGAAGAGGAGTTCCCGGGTCTGACTCTGGCTTGGACCGGGACCGACAGGTTAAGGACCAGCAGCAATGCAAAGCTATGCAATGAGGTACGTATCTCATGAGAAGGTCCTGTGTAGCGTCACAAAGCTAAACGGAGAGCTTTATGAGCATCATGTTGCATTCTGAAGGAAAACCAAAGAGAAGGAGGTCAGCATCAGCCTGCAGTCCAGAGCAAGGAGAAAGCAGCAGCAGCTAAAAGTCAGTCCACAGACGCTGCTAAGAAAGGACAGGTGTGTGTTTGACGTCACCGTGGATGCAACAGAATTCACTGAGTCTGGTTCGTCTTCAATATGAGGCCCTGTTTTCCGTCACCCGATTTCTAGAAAGCTGAGAAGGTCTCCGGGAAGAAGAGCAAGGTTCCTGTGCAGCTGGACATCGGAAACATGTTGGCTGCCCTGGAAAAGAAGCAACAATCTCAGAAAACCAAGCAGGACCTGAAGCCGGTCATTCTCTCAGGTGGGTCGTGGTTAGCATGTTAGCATGGTTAGCATGTTGGCCTCTGTCGTCACTCAAATGGATTCAGATTAAACTGTATTTCAAACAGCTGTAATATTAAAGGAAAAACCTCCTGATGGTGCATCAAGTCACCTGACTGAGTCAAAGTCTTCCTGTCCTTTATCTGTGAAGTTGGTGGAGGTCTACCTGTTGTCCAGAAGCAGCCTCCGGCCCAGAGGAAGCTGCCCTGGCAGCAGGATAAAATTGCACACAATCCCCTGGACTCCACCAGCCCTCTGGTAAAGAAAGGCAAGCAGAGAGAGGTGCCCAAAGCCAAGAAACCCACTCCTCTCAAGAAGGCAAGTCTGGAACAAAAACAGAACACACTGCATGTTGTGATCGATTCATTTCAGCGGTGCAGGTTTGTCTTTACAGCTCACTCACTTCCTGCTGGATTCTCAGGTCATTTTGAAAGAAAGAGAGGAGAGGAAACAGAGGCGTTTGCTGGAGGAGAGAGGACTGCTGCCTGAAGACGATGCCAAACTCTCCAACGATGCCACAGAGGAAGAGCAGTGTGACGCGAATGCCACAGGTCAGAGCAACATCAGCTGTAGTCCTGTTTCACTGAGTCGTCATCAGCTGGGAGCACGTCAAGGAAACATCTGGATACAGCTGATGATTTGTTTTCATGCTCAGATGATGCTGGCAGTCCCACGGAGGGGTTGGATGATCAGCTGGAGTTAAATATCACCAACCAGATGGCAGAGGAGGGAGATGAAGAGACGGACAAGGATGAGACTGTGGAGCATCAAACCGCCTCACCTGAGAACTGCCCAGCGAACGCACCCAAGATCCACAGCAGGAAGTTCAGAGAGTAAGACCGCAGACGCTTCACCGCACACCGAGTCGGTTTCCTGTTTGTGTCTCGGGTTATTCAGTCTGACAGAACTAAGCCACGGTTCTTCTCACGTCTCTGTCCTTCTGTGTGTCAGCTACTGCAGCCAGATGCTGAGCAAAGACGTGGACGAGTGCGTGACGTCCCTGCTGAAGGAGCTGGTTCGGTTCCAGGACCGCCTGTACCAGAAGGACCCCATGAAGGCCCGCATGAAGAGACGCATCGTGATGGGCCTCCGCGAGGTCCTCAAGCACCTCAAGCTCAGGAAGGTCAAGTGCGTCATCATCTCACCCAACTGTGAACGCATCCAGTCCAAAGGTACTGTGGGCTTCCAGCTGGTTGGACGTCAGGAAGTCAGAGAAATGGGAGAACTTTGCAGGTGTCTCTGAACATGCGGTCAAATGCAGATTTAGGCTTTCTTGTGCTGCAGCCCTAAAATAAAGTTTTTCTTGGATAATTATTTTTGGATGCTCAGAAGTAATCCAAGGATAAATCAAACAAAAAGAAGATTCTAGTTTTTCTGGGAGAGAGATTGGGACAGCCAGAGCAGTTTGTTCTGCAGGTCAGACAGGTAGAGCCGTGCATGAGCTCCTGATTCAGGGCTGCTCAGAGGATTATTGTCTCAGTTGTTTAGTCTCTTAAACGTTCTCAGAATCAGAGAAAAATGGCGTCACAGTTTCCTAGAGTTTTTTTTGTTGTTGTTGTTGTTTAGTTTTAAGTGCCATGTCTCATGAAATTAGACTACGATGTTCATTTTATTCTGCTTTTACTTGATGTATGCATATATTAATTATTCTATCTATTGCTTGTGTTGGCTGCAGCGTGGCTGAACTAGCTCAGGATGAATTTCCCACATCCAGGACAATAAAGTTAATCTTGAATCTTGAATCCTAGAGTTTTGAAAAACTGCCTTCCAAAGGCCAAAAATGTCAAACAGGACCAATAAGCCGCAGATCCTCACATCTGAGATAAATTAACAGTGATTTTAACTTTAAAAAACAACTGAAGAATAAAACAGTTGCAGGTTTGTGTTGTTTTGTTTGTTTGTTTTTGTTGTTTTGTTTATTTTGGATCAGCTGCTTTTTTAAAAAAAACCCTCTGGTGACGCCTAAACGATATGAAAATGGCTCCATGTCTTCATCTCCTTCCTCTTTTCTGTGTGGTTTGAACTTTAAGCTACTAACTAAAGTTCTCATTCTTCTTCTCCTGAAGAGCGTTTTCAGGCCATTATGGTGTAAAAACAGCAGCTTCGTATGGACTCCATGTCCAAGTGTTCAGGTTTACTTGGGTAGATGTAGATGTCAGGCTCTGTGTCGTAGCCGCTCACAGGCGTAGCGCTGAGAGCTACCAGGTGCAGATGATTACCAGCTGAATGCTTGAAGCTGGACAGTGATTATAATGTGGTCTTTGGCAGGCGGCCTGGATGAGGCTCTCCACACCATCATCAACACGTGTCGGGAGCAGGGCGTGCCGTTCGTGTTCGCGCTCTCCAGGAAGGCTTTGGGTCGCTGCGTCAACAAGGCCGTGCCCGTCAGCCTGGTGGGCATCTTCAACTACGACGGGGCGCAGGTCAGGTTCAGCAGACGGTACCGCTACAGATAAGGTAAGACGGTTTCTTTAAGCAAACTAAAACCCTCTGGTACCCACAGAACCACTACCACAAGATGATCGAGCTGTCGTCTGAGGCCAGGAGGGCCTACGAGGTGATGGTGTCCAGCCTGGAGCAGACAGACCCGGCAGAGGCAGAGCTGGAGGCCCACAACGAGGAGCTGCAGATCAGCAGCCTGGCTGAGGAACCAGAGGCTGGTACCGACACCGCAGAGCCACCAGAGGAACCAGAATACAGTAAGATGTAGTAAAGTAGTGCATGGAAACACCTGCTCTGTCTGTGTTCATCTAAACCCAACTTTAAGCTTTGCCGTTTAAATGAGTGAAGAAAAATGAAGCGCTAAAGGGTAACACTGCTGAACGAAGATAACGATGATGTCCTCGTTTGCCTCTCAGTTAAAATCTGGAAGAAGATGCTGGAAAAGGAATGCAACCACTCGTTCCTGAACTTCGAGGAGCAGCTGAGCTCCATGCACTTGGACAGCGAATGTATTGAAAACAGTGACGAGGATGAGAAGAGTTGACGGCAGTGAAGCGTTCTGTGCCTAAAAAACAAGAAGCTCAGAGGAAACTAGGACGGACTGGAGCCCACGGGAGGTTGCTCTGCTGCTAGCGGCTCTCCAACCGGGAGCCACCACCACCAGGAATGTGTCAGATAGTTAATCATGTCGCTCGTACTCCCAATGAATCATGGATTTGTTAAGTACGGACTGAACCGGTCACTTGAAAGAATCCCACAATATGAATTTTTACCGATGTTGTCTGTGATCCTGCCTGGAAGACGACCTCCACCAGTCATACAGCACTGAGAGGGAATCAGTGGGGATGTGACACTGAGCCGTTCTGATATTATTTCTTATTAGCTTCAGTTTAAAATATTTTCCTGCTGTTATTTTATGATGCGGGGATGGCAGAGACGAGGCGTGGGAGGGTGTGTGACGAAAACATGAACGTCCAGCTGTAGGTGTACAAAAGGTTTGTTGTTGTAGAAGAAAATGAGAAAGTCCAGCGCTCAGAGCGGCCATAATGTGCACTGATGGTACACATGCATCACTGTTCTGGCTGTAAAGCTGGAGCTCAGCATCCTCTTTAAAGCCTGGTGATGTGCCTCCGAATCAAAACCACAGTAAATGTTTTTGTTGCTTCGTAGACAAGAAATGAGTCTATTCATAGGTTATATTCAGTCATTTTCTGATCTCGACACACTACGTCCTGCTCAGCATTTCACACCTCGTTCTCACTAAGATATTCCCAAAAGCCGATTTCTTTCTCTCACTGTGTAACCTCAGGGTTACGTCGACACAGTTCTTTTCCTACAACAATCAATCTTTTGTACACATTCAGTTTTTTATTGATATACGAAGGACGGTATGCATCCATCCATCCATCCATCATCTCTACACCTTAACCCTCACTAGGGTCATGGGGGGCGGAGCCTATCCCAGCTGACTCAGGGTGAAGGCAGGTTCACCTGGACAGGTAACCAGTCAGTTTGCAACCACAAGCAGTGGAAATTCACATCATTTCAAGCTATGAGACGACCACACCGAGCTGTAGTTTAGAGCTGAAGGAGTGAATTCTGATACGTGTGCGTACAGGAAATGAAATGCTGGTGTTTTAATCCAGAGCAGCGTGATTGCACTACATGATGATTTGTGTCTGGAGTTTACAGCAGCGCTACATGACGGTAGCCTCGGGTTGTGTTTTTTTTTTTTTTTTTGAGCAGGAAAATAACGTTAAATATTACAAACCGTTGTCTCGGCTCGGTTTTCTGTTGTCGGGAGGAAACAAGGGGACGGTCAAATTAAGTTAATCTGAAGTGCAGCAATAAATGAACCAGAAGAACAGGAGTGATCATGACCTGTGATTTAGAAGAACCTGAAGGTTTTATTTTGTGTACAGGAGGCGTAACATCTAATCAGTGCTGAGAAAGAATCACAGTGAACTCTATCATTGGAGGTTAGAGTCAAGCGAGGTGCCTCTTTGAAATCCTAATATAAGTAAATATTTAAGTGATGAAACGATGTCGGGTTGGTTTCTGTTGTAGCTGTGCAGCTTTACAGGGAGGAGGTTAGAAAGAGGAAAGGAATTCTACACAAAGGGGCAGTTTGATGCGCTGCAGCAGCAACAGGACATCAAACACTTGTTTACCAGGACATTATTAATGTTAACGTGTCACAGCAGTCATGTGGACAGCAGTCTGCACGCAGTCTTAAGTCTTATATGAATGTTAAAGCAGCCACAGTTTGACATTTTAGGAGATGTTTGTGGAGAAGTTGCATCAGAAGTCGATACCAACGTGTGATGAGCTGAGTTTGGCTCAAAGGCTGGAAACGGGGAGAAAATAAAACGTGAGCACCGGTGTGTCTCTGCAGGTTCATGTTTAGAATCTTAGACCTGCTGGCACCAGGATATGGCCTCATGCAAAAAACAGTCTTCTTCTGCTTCATTTATACATAACTGAGCTTTCTAGCTTCAGAGGTGCTGATTGAACGTCAGCCTTTGAACAGAGACGACCTCATTTCCAGCCCTTGTGCTAAACTAAGACAAGCAAAGCTGCGTATTTCCCAGAACGCCAGCGTTATCCCTGGATCGCTGGGCTACGAAGTGGTTCCTAGACGTCTGTGGTACTGAGAGACCGAACTGTGAAACATTAGAACTGTGTGAAGATGAAGTGTTCGGCTCACAGGAGGCTGAAACGTCAGGATGTTGTTGTAAAGATCTATTTTTTGATTCAACTCTTTTATAAATTATTGAATATAGATGTTGTATGTAAATCTGATTCTCTACAACAGTGGAGCGACAAACTACATTTTCTTTTTTTGTATACATTAATAGTGGCAACAGAGGAACCTGAAATGGGAGTCGATTAATTTCCATCAGTGTAAACTGTCATTTGAATAAAGAAGACAAACGTATGTCGTGTTTCTGTGAGAATCATTAACATACAAGCGTAGAGGACCAAGGACGTTTCCCTGAGGAACCCCCAGAAAAACGTCAAGTCAAGTACAAGAAGTATTTTAGTCATTTTTAACTATTATCAGTTCTTCTTTTCAAAGCGTTGAAACTGTTCAGCTGAACAAACTGCTGACTGGTTTCTGTGCCGTCTGTTTGTACTGGATCAACTGGAAGCACAGTCTCAGTGCTACAGTCAGAGTGTTTGTGCTATTAATAAGACACTGAATTAAAACAATGAACGTGTAGCTTCTTGTGCAGATCCTGGATAAACCAGGCGGACCAGAATTTACTGTGACCCGAGGCAAACTAATTATGTAATCGGATAACTGCCGACAGCGCTTCCAGGATGAAATTCTGGTTTCCGATTTTATCTCAGTGTCAACAAATCCCAGCAGTAAAGTGTTCTGTGCAGGCGAAGCCGAGTCGGTACAAGTCATGTTGCAGAGTTTGATTGTTGCCCAACAAGCCTGAAGAGCAGCTCTGTGAAGGCAGGTTCACCTGGACAGGTAACCAGTCNAGTCGGTACAAGTCATGTTGCAGAGTTTGATTGTTGCCCAACAAGCCTGAAGAGCAGCTCTGTGAAGGCAGGTTCACCTGGACAGGTAACCAGTCTATCACAGGGCTACACTTAGAGACAGACAACCAAGCACACTCACATTCACACCTACAGACAATTTACAATCACCAATTAACCTCAGCATGTTTCTGGACGGCATGTTCTCCCCGTGCAGCGTGGGTCCTCTCCGGGTTCTAGCTGTGTTGCTGAAGGTGACATCCTGTAATAGAGTCGATCAACATTTTAATTATTTATGTCCAACATTTGCTGTATTCCTGTTTACAGAGATGCACATAATTCCTAAAAATCAATCCCAAGACACAGACAGAACACGTCTTTTATGTTTTAAATACACAGGAAGTTTTGAACGTGAGCAGAAATCTCGCTGGAACACATACGAGTCGTTATCTGAGGCTATTTTAAATGAATTAAAAGATGCCATGTGCACCTCAAACAGAAGACACAAACATTAAAGGAGAAAATCTGAGCGACAGGAAAATAAATATGTAAAAACAACACATAAGGCCTGAGAGCCTCATATTACATCATAGCTTGAGTTGTCACCTTGTGCATGGATTTTATGGGACATTTCTAACATGAAAAAATGCAAGAAGGACACAAACTGGTGCATAAAAATCACCAGAATGCAGAAAATGAAGAGTTTTCTGCTTGAAATGTTCTAAAGAAGCCTCGGCCACAGTTTAAACTCACATCCATGTTCTAGTACATCCTCTGGGAACCATGACATGTGCATTTATCCAAATATCAAATAAGTGAACAAGTGAAAGCTTCGACCTGCTGTTGGTGCTGAAGGGAACACAGAAGGACAATAAGCAGAGGTCATGGAGGAGATTTCACAGCAACACGTCTACAACTGTGAAGAAGTTCCACTCTGGGTCTCAGACGGTGTATCCTCTGACGTCCACGAATGTCTGCGCAGGTTGTAAGATTGTCGATTCATCCAGTAATCATATCAAAAATATGGAAAACTGAACTTCAGATGAGAGGTTGTGCAGGGATGGTATCCACGTACCCACTCAGATCTGTGCACACGCTACTGGGTCCGGTCACATGAGGGATTCTGGGCGTCTGATTGGTGCAGCAATGGTTTCCCTTCTCTTTACAGAAACAGTCATTTTGCCTCTGCAGGAGAACCACGCTGTCAGAGCTCACCTCCTTCACCCGGCTGTAGTCCTCTGACCCTCTCCTCTCTCGTCTCTGAACGTCCACACTGAGCGTTTCCTTCTGCAGGATGAGGACATCGTCTCCGTTCACCTCCTTCACTCTGCTGTAGTCCACCTGCATGCTCTCCTGCCTCTGAATATCCACATAGCCGTTGTTAGCGAGCGGCTGGACGGGCTTCTCAGGAGCTCCTGTGTGCAGATTCGCTGCCGCAGAGTTTGCACCTGAGAACGTCTGTTTCTGAGAAGGCAGCTGTGGAGGCTCCAGGTCAGATGTTTCGTTCCTGCTCTCCTCAGCTTGGCTCGACGCCTTCCACTGGAGTTTGGAGTCTAAGTGGAACCCAGCAGGAATGATCAAGCTTTTCTTCTTCTTCTGAGACTTGGAGGAAGCCGGCAGAAGCCACTCGCTGCTGTCAGACACCACTACGTAGTCCTCCATCTGGTCCTTCCGGGTCACCGCAGAAGGAAAGTTCTGGCTGACAATCAGGGCGCTGAGGACGTCTTCAGACTGCCCGCTCTGGAAGGGGATGGTTCAGAGCTTCAGCAGGTCTGAAGCACGCTTTGGGATATTTTAGACGTACAACAAAGAGGCAGCGTTACCTTGAGGAGCTGAACATCGACGCCTCGGATCTTTGGACCAGGAACAGGAGGCAGGAGACACAGTTTGACACTGAGGAGCAGCAGGAAGAACCGTCAGTCACATCTACCTCATCGTCTTCAGTCCGTTTCAGTTTCTGCACGACCATCTCTGATTGACCTTAAGTTTTAATAGCTTAACATGTAGATATTTAAAAGGACATTTGTGAAATTTCGTTTGATGAAATGTTTTCTGAGCCACTCGTCTGAAGCTGAAAGCAAAAGTCAGAGAAACAGCTCAAGGTACAACCTCTGATTAGGGGTGAGTTAGATCAGCTGTCTCCCATCACAATAATACAAAACACATACAGAATGTGTGTCATGTGACATACGTGGTCCATAAAATGGAAAAAAAAGAAAAGTTGTTTTTAATATTCCAGATTCACACCGACGGCGTGACGAGAAATAACAGTGAAACTGTTCGGCTTATAACTTCAATACTGAAAGAACTAAAAAGATTAAATTAACTTCACCTACATTAAAGTAAATTAACTATTAATCTGATTACAAGTTAATGTCGTTTAGCTTCAAATGCTAATATGCAGAAAATGTGCTGAAGGTGGAACCACAGGAAAAACAAATGTGTGAAAATGTTCGTATACCATTTTAAACATCCACAGGTTATGATAAAAGAAGTTCCCCTGGTGATGGAATAATAAATAGTTCTACATTAGACACGCACTATTTCCACTTGGTGACCAGGACGCAGAGCGCTGCTACGACTGGAACTGCAGAGAAGATGGAAACCAGCATCTGGAAGGGTCTCTGGCTCTGAACATCTGAATGTGAAAGAAAAGCGTTTTTTATTCAAGTTGACCAGCTTGTTGTAAAACCATTCATGCAGCAGAGAGCCTGAGAGACTTACAGTTTGGGATTTTCACCAAGGTGCTGTTGCTCCACTCGCTCCAGGAGCCGTGGTCCAGCATGCAGCGCACCTGAACCAGGTACGCCGCCCCAGGACTGACGCTGTACAGGCTGAAGGAGGTCTGTGTCCCTGATGTGTAGCTCTAGATGAGAAACAAGACATCCACTTTCTACCTGAGCTGAGGTCACATCTGTTTGACCTGAACCGATAGTTCTGATTGCACTGATGTACTGTTTACTGTACACGGACTGGTTCTACAGATACAGCGTACTGTGGTGTGTGTGCAGCGTGTGGTGCAGAGTCACAGGGAATTTATTTATATATTAACTCGCACTGCTATAATTCAGGACTGCAGCTGGAAGATCTCCGGTCTGTGTGGAGCCTCCGTGTTCTCCCAGCGTGGGTTGTCTCCTCACCAGGGTCATGGGGGGCGGAGCCTATCCCAGCTGACTCAGGGTGAAGGTTCACCTGGACAGGTCACCAGTCTATCACAGGGCTACACTTAGAGACAGACAACCAAGCACACTCACATTCACACCTACGGACAATTTACAATCACCAATTAACCTCAGCATGTTTCTGGACTGTGGGAGGAAGCCGGAGAACCCGGAGAGAACCCACGCTGCACGGGGAGAACATGGAGACTCCACGCAGGAAGATCCCGGGTGTCCTCACCGGGACGCCAACCGGCGACCTTCTAGCTGTGAGGCTACGGTGCTAACCGCTGAGCCCATTTTGATAGTAATGTGATCGTAATTTAGTTTATAAGCAGATGGTACTCGTCAGACTCACTGCTCTGTGCTGACAAAGTGCAGCAGTGATCACATAAGAGTCACTTTTTGCTTTCAGGAACAACATTTTATTAAAACAAAGCTGAATTAAAACTGACTCTCCAGTGAAACTAGTTTATGTGCAAACATGCAGCCGTTCAGTAAGTTTTTTTTAACTCTCACCTTCCAGTCGTTGTTGTTTTCCTGTTTGACCCTCAGCTGGTATTTGATGGTGACCCAGCCGGACCTGGGGTCCGTGTTGGAGGGACGCTTCCATGTGACGTGGAGATGTGGACTCTCCGGTCTCTCCTCCACCACCAGAGTCACGTTTTCAGGAGCGTAGGGCTTCACTGTGGAGCACAGACAACAGATTGTACAGATCCAGTCTGCCAACATGCTCACAGTGATTCTCTTGAACTACAGAAGGCCTGAAAGACAGAACCTGCAGAAAGGAACCAGGCCGGTGCTCAGCAGATGGGAGCAGAGGAGAGATCTGTTTATGTCCAAATGCTACAGCGTTCCTGACGCTGCAGTCACTTGTTCAGAACATGGACTGTACATGTGATTCCTTGCTGCAGGTAAAACTCTGCTTTGGACTTCAGACCAGATGTTTTATGCAGGTTTGGGACTTTGGGGACTTTTGCAGATCTTTTACATGCATGAAAAACCCACAGCACGCTAAAAGAAACCCCCAGAAGGCAGAATGTGGGCTCTTTGTCTAAGATCAGGGACCAAAACTCTCAGTTCCAACCAGCAGAAAACAGAAGAACAAATGTAGTTTTCTGTGGTGCTGATCAATGGCAGCAGTGGCTTTTTATCCCACCTGTTTTCTTCTTACCAGCAGAAACAATGAGAAACTAAATCACATGCTTAATTATCTGTCGTATCTGGTGGAACCATGAGGGTTCATATGTGGGATCAGGACCGTCTGTTTCTATACGTTTAACAGCTGCTGAGACATTTTGACCTCCACAACCAGCATCTCTGGAGCCCTGGTCTATGACCAGGATGAGGGTTTAGCGCCAGGAGCAGGGCTCAGTCCAGCAGATCCTCACATCTTTAAATGTGTGATCTTGTAGTCTGGTGGTGGATCTATGCCCCTGGTACCATCACAGCGGGGTGACTGTTTGCTCACATGTGACAAGACTCACATGTGTAACCGTCTGTATCACCAACAAACAAAAGATGTGAAATCTGATCTGACACCAGTGTCTGACACGGAGCACAAACCAGTTCCGCCTCAGTCTGTTCTGGGTTTGTGTCTCCCGTCCGTCCCTCGGTACTTTTCCATTCCTCACGGAGCTCAAGGAGGCAACTGGGCCGATAAAACAACTATGAGCTCAGTTTACACAGAAGTTTTCCTGTTGACTTTAATTCAGACACAGACGTGGTCAGTAGGTCAGTAGGTCAGTAGGTCCGATAAGTTCCACTCCGGACTTCATGGATCAAAAATGTCCTCTAAAGAATTGTAATTTTAATCTGTTGACACAAACAGACCCAGTGCAGTCAAATAAACAGATAAACACAAGCTACATTTTTAGGGAGTTTTTAATTCTTTCTGCATGAATGATTGGTTTAGAGCTAATGATTGGAAGAACACCACCTGTCCAGGTGAACCTGCCTTCACCCTGAGTCAGCTGGGATAGACTCCGCCCCCCATGACCCTGGTGAGGATGAAGGTATAGAGATGATGGATGGAGGGATTACCAGAACATCCCCATTAAACCCACAGTGGGCTGGTGTCATAAAACAACAACCCATGAAGTCAGAGGGAGGTTTTCACAGACGCTGAAGAGCAAAGAGAATACGCCTAAATCAACTTATAGGATGAAGAACGACTAGAATTCAGCTTCAGGTGTTTCAGGTAAAACATTTTGCTTAATATCACCATGAAACATCCTCAGCAATGGAAATTACACTATTTCTGAAATGCAATATTTAAAGACGCAGATAAGGTATGTATCTGTATAAACGTGCTAATTTGTGGAAGTCTCTTTTCATCGCTCTATAAAAGTATTGTTTTAAGAATAAACGGTATAAATCAGGCTATGAATGAAACGTCCATCATATAGATACAGGAACGAAACTGTGAAGACTAGTTTTCTTGTTTTTCAACCAAAAGGTCCTCATCTGTCACCTGTTTTTGAGACTGTGTGAGTTAAAATTTCACGTCGGTGCGAGTGCAGGCTG